GAAAAATTCGACGTGTTTTTATAATCAGAGTAAATACTCAACTTGCTAAATGAGTGGAACAAAGTGCTTAACGTGTTCTTTAAATAGTACCAAGTATTCAACGAGTTCGTAAACGCTGCCAAATATTGTCATTTAAACTATTAAAAAACGAGTTAAATATATAAATAATAACAAATATTGACAAATAAATTCTTGAACGGTACCATTTTCTTCAATACATATATCTTCTTCAACCATATACTCAAGGACTTCTTTAAAAGAATAGAGGTAAATTCTTAGTCCAAATAAGTGTGGACCAAACTGCAGGTGGAGACAGGCCACAAGTTGGTAACTGACGGAAAGTTGATAATTGTTGGGGCTCAACTTAGGCCTCGCTTGAGCCCGTACGTCTTCCCAAACTCGGGTCCAAAATTAACGCTGGTAATTATTAGTTACCCACAAGTTGTTCACCAGCCTTACACCTCCAGCGCGGCCAACTTACCTTGCGTAGTGAACTTACCATATTCACTGAAAGTTCTCCCTCACAGTAAACTAACACCGTAAGGTTAACCTTCTCAGATATTCTGGTCTGGAGGGAATATTATTATTATTTTCGTCACACAGTTTTACACAGCGTAAAGAATGATATAATTAATAGTGATGTACTAGTAGATATTTCTACTCAAAACGTCATGGATACCGCACATTTGGGGCTATAGTCACTGAGCTTTGCAGGGTGGCTAATGAGGGGTGAGTAACGGGCATAGACGCTTCGGGGTCAATTCTTATTGCCTCCCTTAAATGGGGATCGAATCCCAAAGCAGTCCTCATGAAATCACTGATGAGAGATGGGTAGCTGAATCATTAGAATTTCATAACTTGATGTATCCAGAGTATTATATATATAAAAATATAGGGGTACCACCTTTAGTGCAATTGCAGTGACCCACATCCTCGAAGAAGAAAACAATATATATATATATATATATATATATATATATATATATATATATATATATATATATATATATATATATATATATATATATATGTATATATATATGATTCAAGCTAGTTCGCATATATATATATATATATATATATATATATATATATATATATATATATATATATATATATATATATATGTATATATATATGATTCAAGTTAGTTCGCATATATATATATATATATATATATATATATATATATATATATATATATATATATATGCGAACTAGCTTGAATGGTCCCCAAGCATATATGCAACTGAAAACTCCTCACCTCAGAAGTGACTCGAACCCAGACAGCCAGAAGCACTATGCAACTGATGTACATGGTTCCTTAACCACTTGACCAACCGTGACCGTACAAAAGATGCTGGTAGCCGCGGCTATATCCCCAACATCCCGACGGCACCTGGTGATAATCTTGGGCATAGTTATTTCATCGAATCACCTCACTTTGTGGGGCCACGTGAGCAACACAAATACGAACAAGCTTGAATGGTCCCCCAAGCATATATGCAACTGAAAACTTAAATGGTCTAACTCCGTAAGATACGGAACAGAAGCTGTCACCCATGCAGCAGGTCTCCCCCCCACACCCACCCATCCCTCCTCTCCACGGCGTCAAGTATAAACAAGCAAATGTATTGATTAAATAGAGACGAAAATGTTCTCTAATAGCGGAATGTGAAGACATGCATGAAATTGAGAAAAAAGTTTCATACCATCAACTAAACAAACGTAAAAATGTTTTGAAAATTCACATTCAAGCCGATATCTTTAATGTCAGCATTCTATATCACGATAGCATAGCCAGAGTTTTTACTTCAATTATATTAACGATTTATCCGCGTAAATTTTTGCATGATCTTTTATGTTAAGACAATTGTTCGTCAGGAATTGTGCTGATGCTCTTTATACTGCAAGCTAGGAGCTGTTATTCTGCATCAGCATTCTCTCTCTCTCTCTCTCTCTCTCTCTCTCTCTCTCTCTCTCTCTCTCTCTCTCTCTCTCTCTCTCTCTCTCTCTCTCTCTCACTAACATTCATGCCTCCCTATCTCCTCCCCTATCTCTCATTCTTCTCATAAACTCCACCTTCTCGTTTTTCTCCACTTCCTAGTACCACAGCCCCATCACCCAGTACCACAGCCCCACCACCCAGTACCACAGCCCCACCACCCAGTACCACAGCCCCACCACCCAGTACCACAGCCCCACCACCCAGTACCACAGCCCAATCACCCAGTATATCAGCACGAGGGATATAATCCCCTCCATCACTATGTTTGTCTATCCCACTGGACACACTATCCAAATGTGACGTTTATTCATCGATGAATAAGGTAGATTCAACGCGATATGGTGCCCACTGGGAAAGATGTCATCCGTCTGAGTCCATCACACCAGCCAATAAACATTGAGTCACTGAATTTTGTCATGAGCCAATACAATTTGCCGCTGCATAGACGAGACTGCTTAAAAGTTACCAAACATTGTCTGAGACAGTTCCTGAGGTGTTGTGGGTGCACACACACACACACACACACACACACACACACACACACACACACACACACACACACACACACACACACACACACACACACCCACACACACACACACACTCACTCATACACACTCAGAGGATTGAGCTACGAGGAAAGGCTAAAGGAGCTGAACCTCACATCCCTGGAAAACAGAAGAGTAAGGGGAGACATGATAACCACCTACAAAATTCTCAGGGGAATTGACAGGGTGGACAAAGACAAACTCTTCAGCACGGGTGGGACACGAACAAGGGGACACAGGTGGAAACTTAGTACCCAGATGAGCCACAGAGACGTTAGAAAGAATTTTTTCAGTGTCAGAGTAGTTAATAAATGGAATGCACTAGGAAGTGATGTGGTGGAGGCTGACTCCATACACTGTTTCAAATGTAGGTATGATAGAGCCCAGTAGGCTCAGGAATCTGTACACCAGTTGATTGACAGTTGAGAGGCGGGACCAAAGAGCCAAAGCTCAACCCCCGCAAGCACAATTAGGTGAGTACTCACTCACACACACACTCACTCACACACACACACACACACACACACACACACACACACACACACACACACACACACACACACACACGCACACACACACGCACACACACACACACACACACACGCACACACACACACACATACACACACACATACACACACACACACACACACACACACGCACGCACACACACCGCACCTCAAGGTACGCATCTACATCACTAAACTCAATACCAAAATCACTGTGTGAATTCCCACCCACCCCCAACCTAGCCAGTCATAAGGTGTCAAAGGAGCTACTGTGGTGGATGTAGCTCTGATGAACGGCCCCTATGATGAATAGTGGCGTTCACACCCTCGTTCATCACCACCAAACTCATCTCAGGCGCCTACCGGGGACACACAGCAAAGGACAATATCTATACGATGCTCCGGCTCCTTGATAAACTGCATATAATAATATATATATTCCATCCAAGGTTTGGATTCATCAAGGATTAACTCATCCATTAACGTCACCTGTTCATCTTTTCTTATTCATGGCTGGTTTGTTTATATTTATTAAAGAGTTTATGAGTGTGAAAACTTCACAATCCAAGGTTATTAATTGTTATAAATCACCAGTTTATAAATCAAACAGTTTATCAGTGCTTTGGAGCTGATAAACTGTTTAATAAATGTAAGCATAGCAGCCATGCATTAGGTAAGATGTACAGGTTTCGCAAGTGAATACGTAAATGTTTTATGATTCCTGGTGTTGGAAAGTTAGAGAATATGTTACTGGTTTTAAGAGGCACCAGTTCGAAGCTAGAGAATAATCACACAGTCTAAATACATGTTCTGATCCTGTCGCATGAGAGTGTAAATGATATTACAATACAAAAATAACATATTATATAACATGTTTGGAGCACCAGGTTCAATGAAAATTAATAACAGTATTTGTTAGAAAATATAAAGCCCATAACAAAATATTCACGAAAATATTCCTTTATCAGTATGTTTAAAAAAAAGATAACAGGCCTTCAGCTATCTTTTACTTACGTCTTACCTTCTGACGTCAAGAAAGGCTAGTACTTATAACGACTATGAGTCCATGGTATAAACATGGCCATTGGCGCCCTAAAACGGTGTCTTTTGTGCTAAAAATTATTTTTAGAAGACAAGAGAAAGTCCAAATGTAAATTTTCCTAGACCTGGTACCTAGGAACATTTACGTGCATTGATATATATTCAATGCAAGGCATTTTTAATCCCCGACATTTATACAGCATATAAAATTATTAAATTAAACGTAAGACAATGTTTGATTCTAAAGATACCGTTCCACTTTTTAACTTTTGTTGCTTCACCGCACTACCAGAAAAGCTGAAGAAATGTATCCTTCCTCCTTGAAAATTTATGGTAAATATAAACTCATTTAATTTAAACTAATCATTTGCACGTCTGTTTTTCGATCGTCAGATTTCACCCGCAAATTATATTTTGTTAAGCAAGTTCCTAAATCTAATCTCTCGACTTTTCTGGTCCAAGCAATTCGTCTCAGTCAGTCGGTGACAGCAGTCAAGATTCTTCCAAACCATTTCTTGCGACACTTTGGAAACATTGGGGTAATTGTGTGGAGGAAATGAACTCTTTCACCTCCCTGTAGCTCATGCCCTGGGCCTCTCCTGCAGTCTTTCATCAGCTAAATAGTTCCTCATCCTGTGAAGGCATAGTGGAGTCGCCCTCCTGCACTGCAGCACTGAGGACTAAGCTATCAAAGCTTAACTGTGACATAGCGAAGTCTAAGCTCTCAAAGCTTCACTATGATATGACAAGGACTAACCTAGAGTCGTCAGCAGCATTAGCAATGAACACCAGCTTGAGACTATGTCTCTGGATTGGTCCGTTAGCCAGCTATTATAAGGCTTTTCTTCCATTTGTGTGAAGCATATGTGCCAGTTTGAGCATGAAATCTACGACCTATGTTGATGGGTGTCGGGAGAGGCAGCACAGCTGGGTGTCGGTGTGGGAGGCACAGCTGGGTGTCGGTGTGGGAGGCACAGCTGGGTGTCGGTGTGGGAGGCACAGCTGGGTGTCGGTGTGGGAGGCACAGCTGGGTGTATGTGTGGGAGGCATGGCTGGGTGTCGGTGTGGGAGGCACAGCTGGGTGTCGGTGTGGGAGGCACAGCTGGGTGTCGGTGTGGGAGGCACAGCTGGGTGTCGGTGTGGGAGGCATGGCTGGGTGTCGGTGTGGGAGGCATGGCTGGGTGTATGTGTGGGAGGCATGGCTGGGTGTCGGTGTGGGAGGCACAGCTGGGTGTATGTGTGGGAGGCATGGCTGGGTGTCGGTGTGGGAGGCATGGCTGGGTGTCGGTGTGGGAGGCACAGCTGGGTGTCGGTGTGGGAGGCATGGCTGGGTGTCGGTGTGGGAGGCACAGCTGGGTGTCGGTGTGGGAGGCACAGCTGGGTGTCGGTGTGGGAGGCACAGCTGGGTGTCGGTGTGGGAGGCATGGCTGGGTGTCGGTGTGGGAGGCATGGCTGGGTGTCGGTGTGGGAGGCATGGCTGGGTGTCGGTGTGGGAGGCACAGCTGGGTGTCGGTGTGGGAGGCATGGCTGGGTGTCGGTGTGGGAGGCACAGCTGGGTGTCGGTGTGGGAGGCATGGCTGGGTGTCGGTGTGGGAGGCATGGCTGGGTGTCGGTGTGGGAGGCATGGCTGGGTGTCGGTGTGGGAGGCATGGCTGGGTGTCGGTGTGGGAGGCATGGCTGGGTGTCGGTGTGGGAGGCATGGCTGGGTGTCGGTGTGGGAGGCATGGCTGGGTGTCGGTGTGGGAGGCATGGCTGGGTGTCGGTGTGGGAGGCATGGCTGGGTGTCGGTGTGGGAGGCATGGCTGGGTGTTGAAAGGGTTGGTAAACGCGGGAAAGTGGCCTTTAAGTAAGATTACATTAATGGCCACAGGACGCATCTCCAGAGGCCCAAGAGGAGCCACGACACAGTCCTCCACACCACCTGGGTGCCAACCTGACCTATCAGTGACTATCTTGAGATTATGTCGGGGATCAGCGTCCCCGCGGCCCGGTCCTCGACCGGGCCTCCATTTTTTTTTACACATTAACAGGAAGCAGCCCCGTATTAGCTGCCTAACTCCCAGGTACCTATTTACTGCTAAGTGAACTGGGACATCAGTGTGAAAGAAACTTTGCCCATTTGTTTCCACCTCCGCCGCGGATCGAACCCGGAACTTTAGGACTAAGAATCGCGAGCGCTGTCTACTCAGCCGTCAGGCCTAGTGGGGGAGAGTGATCAATGTGGTTTCTTAGGAATCAGAACCTATTGCATTTACATGACTTTGCAATGTTTAGCTCTCGTGTCTCCTCGTGATCTGGCAGTGGCTTCCACGGTTTAATTCTTAAGGTGCATTGCAATAGTTGATTACCAGCGTTGCATGCAGGAATTTCGTTACAACCCTTTCATTCATTTGCATTTCAAACTCCCACCTTTGACGTTTTGTCTAATTACATGATTTCAAAATGCTGCCGTTTTTTTCGCACATTCTTTGCAGTACTTTGTATGTAGTGATCATGTCTGCTAAATATCATATACCAGCGCTGTATATTCAGAAACTGCTCTGAAGTATTCTGAATATTTTACCTCGAACTTCCAGCAGCAAGTTAGCATCTCGTATTGTTTATCAAGTTCTTCCTGAATCATCATACTATCTTCCTAAGTGTTTACTCTTCATATTCACTTTGCCCTATCTTCAAACATCAACATTGGTAAGTCACCTCTTGAGACTGGATCACTGAGACATCATTAGAGTACTAAGGAACAAGTTTTGAGAAACATCTATTACTTCATCTCTTATTTAAATTTGCTCTCATGTTGTCGTGTTATTGTCTTAGCTGATGCACTTGTTAACTTGTTCTAACGTTACGGAACTCATTAATTAACTCGCTGACTTGGCTAATATTGCAGCTAACTTATGCTCACTCCGGTTCTTCTGATACCCGGCATGAATTCAGAATATCTTTCACGTTTCGGCTTCACGTGATGAAACTTAGCCTGGATTTCACGTTCATTCCTCGATGGTTTGCTGACTTAAACACTGACTGGATTTCACGTTTCTTTCTTACTATTTTCCTGGCTTAAACATAGTCTGACTTTCACCTTCCTTCCTCACTAGTTTCCTGCCTTAAACATTGACTGAATTTCACGTTTCTTTCTCACTATTTTTCTGTCTTAAACATTGGCTGGCTTTCACGTTCCTACCTCACACACATTCTGACTAAAACGATATCCGGTGTTCGCTACAAAGGGCCTCGATCATCACAGAGAGTCTTCGCTCCTGGTGATTTCATCCACATATCATTATCGATATTCACACCTTGTCCGTCTAAGCGAGGAAGCGCTTGAAGTATCCGCACCTATTGTCCCTCTACTACTGAGGAAACTCACGGTAAGAACACTGTAATAAAAAGTGTATCTTCGTTTCTTAAATTATCTTTACTTGTGGGGATAATAATTTGACATTCACATCTTTCAGAACGCAATACCGGAAGATTCAGGTCGTGGGCGTTACAAACCAAAGATTAAATTGTGACTTCATTGTGTACTTAAGCAGTCGGTCCTTATAAGTAATGGCTAAATGATGGTTAATCCACCTGCCAAAATAGTTGTATATTAGTGAAAACAGTTTACTCATGACTTGTTTTTGAGTGAAAACAGTTTACACATGACTTGTTTTTGAGTGAAAACAGTTTACAAATGACTAGTTTTTGAGTGAAAACAGTTTACACATGACTTGTTTACGAGTGAAAACAATTTATACGTGACTTGTTTATGAGTGGAAACAGTTTACACATGATTTGTTTATGAGTGAAAACAGTTTACACATGATTTACGATTTATGTCCGAACTTTTCTAGATAATTTTTTTAGTTTTTCTTCATTGCTCACAACAATGCAATTCCCCTAATTACAATTCCCTAAATGCAATTTGCGAAACAACAACTCAATGCACATCACCTCTTCCATAAGCAATAATACTCCACTGGTCTTATTTCCACTGATTCCAATTAATTACTCCCAGAATTCGTGATCAACTCCTTGTTGTTACAAAGTATTTTCAGAGTTCCCCAACATGTCTTCAACACCCACCGAACACAACCCACAACGGCACCTGAATTTAACTAAATGTCATGGCTGTTTTATATTACCTATTTCAGGATTCCAACACTCAAGAGATTTGCCAATAGATATTGTTACGGTGCCCTCTCCCATTTCTTTCGTTTGCCGGCTTAAAGAGTCATATCAGCTCTCCCTACTGATTCTCTGAGGTTCAGGGAGTCTAATGATATATGTGGCGACCAGACCGGCTGCCAGTTAAGGGAAGGAAGTTATATTATAAGTTGAAAATAAAGGAAAATTGGCGCCCTGTTATAAAATGAAACAGTATCCCCTACGGCAGATATGACCTTTTGGAAGGGACATTAGCCGATCGCGGATGGGCCGACGTAGGTCGCGGGCGACAAATCAGGGCCCGCCATGACGTCACCGAGTGCCCCGGGCGGCGCCGACGTCAGAGTTGATCTGACCTTGGAAGCGACAGGACGCGCCTCGGTCTGCTCTCAAGGATTGGAGGCTCTGCAAGCCTTATTCAGTGGATTGAACTAGCCATCGCAGCCCACCATAGTTATTGGAGACCCTGCGCTTCTGGGAAGCAAAAGAGGAACCAAGTTCATTGAGCGGAGAAGTGCCAAACTTGGAAAATAGTCGGCGACGACGCTGGGCGGCGCCGCTGGCTGGACGTTGAGGTCTGGAAGGTGCGGCGGGCAGGCCTGCTGTGACCGGGTCACATCCACTGAGAATCTTGGAAGGACGACACCGTGCCTAGGACAAGGAGCAACGCCTTGTGGGAGAGGCGAGTGTGGGGAAAAATAGTGATTAGCTCAGCGCCCATCGATGAACCAGGATTGGGGCAGCTGAATATCAGGGATTGGAACGGCGACGACGCGAAGGCTCCACGACACCTGAGGACCTGTGGAACGTCCTGGATCGTCAAGGATCGACCCAAGGAAGCGTGGGAACCTCACACCATCGAGGGACAGGCGTCGTGAGCCAGGAATGTAAGGTAGATCATTTTCCCTCCCATTACCCCTTGTATGAGTAGGCTAGTTAGGCCACAATATTTACTTGTGTATGTGGCAGCAAGACTTTATTACTTTAATAGTAGAATAGGCTGCAAGGCAGCTTGAGTCCAGGACTGTCAGAGAGGACAGTGCGTATGGATGGCAGGACAGTGAAGAAGAGGCGCCGACGTGGTGAAGAGGCCCTCCTGTGAGAGTGTGAGACTCCTGTCTTTCTGCCCAGTTGAAGGAGTGTTGGAGGTCGTGGAAGAAGAGGCTGACGATCTCCAGACTCATTATCCATATTTCCATATTCATGTACTACTTGTAATTGTGTGTGTGTTCATGTAATTTGCATCAGTAAATTCACACATTTTATCACTGTGTTTGAGTGTGCCTCCATTTATGATATTTCTCTATGAGCATACATTTCTGGCTACAAACAATATATAATACACCCACTGAACTGCGTTGCTGGGGCGCAGATATAATAACCCAGCTGGCGACCTTGCTAAGAAGAAGATAGAGAAGACAGGCGGGAAAGGAGTTCCTGCAACCTTTTTTGTCTGGCAGGCAAGACTCAGGGAGGTTATGGTTATAAGGTAAGCCTGAGTCTTCCTTCACTCCCCCACGGGTCTAGGCCGGAATTGTTAACAGCAATTTCCCCGTGTTCGACTGAAGGGCTTCCAGGGTGAATCAGTGGCACCCCTTTTGTGGTGGAAGCAAAGACCTGCGGAGGTGGGCATTGTTGGTCCTCTCCCGTGTGACCAGGGAGGCTCCGGTGAATCCCGGGAGTCGGAGGGGCTGAGTATTTGGGTCTTTTGAGCCCCTAGCAACCGAGTGTTAGCAGAGCCCCGGACCACCCACCCCCACGTGACAATATGCAAGTTACCCCTCTGTGGTGGATAACTATTACTCATAACGTCATCCAAACGAAATAATTTTCACAAAATATCTTGACGATGCTACAGACGCTGGTAAAGATTGGTATTTTTTTTCCTTTAAGGCGGTAGGGGCTCAGCAGTAACTGCAGAAGATGACGTTACTGGGCCATTGGGTGAAAATATAGAGAGAAAAGGAGCCGGTTAAGATAAGACCGGACGGGCCGGACACAGCCTCCGAGAGTACTGAGGCATGGGTCTGGGAACCCATCAAGACTACACTTCAACAACTGAAGGCTCTGACGTGCCTTCTAGTAGCAACTTTCCTTATGTGTGTTTTCCTTTTCATGGTTTTCTACTTGTTGTGGTGTATGTATATTAAAAGATCTATTGTGTATATATATATGCATATAAGCATTTATATTGCAGTGTGTACTCACCTAGTTGTGCTTGCGGAGGTTGAGCTCTGGATCTTTGGTCCCGCCTCTCAACTGTGAATCAACTAATGTACAGGTTCCTGAGCCTACTGGGCTCCATCATATCTACACTTGAAGCTGTGTATGGAGTCAGTGTGTGTGTGTGTGTGTGTGTATGTGTGTGTGTGTGTGTGTGTGTGTATGATATTAAATTTTGTTTGTGTATATAAATATATTAGTATATTTGTAGCTGTACATATTTAAATATTATACCAACTATACACACGCATATATATTTTCTTGCGGCAGGTCAATTCGTAGGAATTAAATGCTTTGAACTAAACATACTACGTAATACATATTATATAAAGCTGCGTCGCCCACACACACACACACAGAGATGCAAAATACAGCCTGAAATACCATGATAAAGGTCCTTCATGGATTAATTACACATTACGTATTAT